ATACCATTGCACTTACCATTGCCGTTGCCATTGCCATGGCCATTATCATTGTCATTGCCATTGCCAATCCCATTGCCATTGTCATTACCATTACCGTTGCCATTGTCATTGGCATTGCCAATCGCTACCCCCTTACCATTACCGTTACCATTACCATTACCAGTACCATTACCATTACCCTTGTCATTACCATTACCATCACCATTGCCATTGCCATTCGTCACTACCATTACCATTGCCAGTACCATTTCCACTCCCATTCCCATTACCACTAGCATTACCATTACCATGAGACTACCGCTGCCATTACCATTAGAATTCTCATTCCCATTCCCAATACTATTACAATTTCCATTGCCATTACCATTACCATTACCATTTCCAGTGCCATTACCATTACCACTACCACTATCATTTCCATTCCCGTTCCCGTTCCCAGTCCCACTTCCATTCCCATTACCATTACCATTACCACTGCCACTGCCATTGCCATTACCATTACCATTACCATTACCTTTAACTCTACCTTTACCTCTACCCTTACCATTACCATTACCATTGCCATGGCCATTACCATTGCCATTGCCATTGTCATTGCCATTCCCATTGCCATTGCCATTGCCATTACCATTACCGTTGCCATTGCCATCGCCATTGTCATTGCCTCGCTACCCCGTTGCCACTATCATCACCGTAACCATTACCAGTATCATTGCCATTGTCATTACCATTACCATTACCATTACGAGTGCCATTGTCATTGCCATTGCCATTGCCATTCGAGGATTTCAGTAGGAATCATTCAGTGGAGGGTTTCAGTAGGAATCCACATGTGGAGGATTTCGGTAGGAATCATTCAGTGGAGGGTTTCGATCGGAACCCTTCTGTCGAGGATTTCACTGTGAATCCTTCTTATGGGGGCGTCCAATAGGAATCCTTCTAGGGGGGAGGGCAGATGTGGCCACGTCGCATTCCTTTTTTTTCTCCTGGCGCCCCCCCCCCCAGAAAAAAAACATCAAAAACAAAACAATATATTGTTTTTCTGGGGGGGGGCGCCAGGAAAAAAAAAAAGGCAGAGAGGTAGCAGGAGGGGGAGAGGGAGGAGGAGGAGGAGGAGGAGGCGGAGGAGGAGGAGGAGGAGGAGGACGACACTGAGCAGAGTTTGCACAGAAACAGTCGCGAACTCAGCGCGAAACCCTCGCGCGCGCGCTGTGGAACCCCAGCGACTCCACAATCCCCCGTTCTCTCCTCCTCCTCCTCCTCCTCCTCCTCCTCCTCCTCCTCTTCCTCTTCCTCCTCCTCCGTGGAGCCCCCGTCGTCTCCCAGCCGCCCCACGTGGCCCTGCCGCCCTCGGGGTGTTGAAGGGCCCCCGCCGGGCAGTGTGGGGGGGGGGGGGGCGACGCGCCGCCCCGCTGGCGCAGCTTCAGCCTCTGGCCTTCAGTCGGGCCCGTCCCTCCACAGGAGGAATATTCAAAAATAATCAAACAGCACAGGCAGGGGGCTCAATTCTGTTTTTTTTTGACTAGTTGGGGGTATTGTTTGGATCTGTCTTACATTTCCTCGAAAATCCGCTTTCAAGGGGACACGCCCGACCTAACTCTGGCTACCCAGAGCCCAGGCGGGTCCTGCAAAAGCCCGTCAGCGGCGGCCCGCGGCCCGCGGCGGTGGCGGCTCCCACATACGGGGCCCGTCAGGGAGTACATAACGGAAGCCTCCGCTCGTCCCAGGTTGAATGCATATCGTCGAAGGGCTCCCGACAGCGCTCAACATCGCCCGATAGCGTCCAATAGCGCCAAGACAGCGTTCAGATAGCGCTCAGGTAGCGCCCAGTAGCGACACACAGTGCCGAATAGCGCGATGCGACATGTGAGGAAGACGCATCATGTGCGCTTTGCTGGCCATTTGTTGCGCTATGTGGTGCCATTGGGACGACAAAATGCTTACGTGAGTTGCTGTCTGGTGGGGTCGAAGGATCGCTACGCATCGTCGATGCGCTGGCGATGCGGCTCGATGTGGAAGCCGATTTGCTCTACGCCGACGTCGCCGATGCATCGCCGACGTCGACGATGCGTCGGCGATGCATCGCCGATGCGTCGGCGACGCATCGAAGACGTGGCGTGATCCTCATAATTACCCCATTCAGGGCTTGTAATATGGGCGTGCAGCCTTGCGGCTTCTCCTCCACCTGCTTGTGCAGTTCGCGTCGGCCACGCGTGCTTCCCAGACCCCGGACATGATTTTTCCCGGATGCCGACCCCCAGAAGTCTGGACCCATGACCCATTTTTCATCCCGAGTCTTTTATTGACGGTCCCGAGGCCCAGTAAGGACTCCCAGGGGCCGAACCTTGCGGAACATGTTCGGCCTTTTTGTTTTTCATGCTTCGAGGGGGTCTGGATTGTTGGCCCGTCTCGCCGCCTGCGGCTCCCTCTAGTGCACATTGGCTCGCTCAGGGCCCTGGCCGGGCCTCCCCATTGGTCTCGGCGCCCACTGCGGCCTGCCGCTCAGCCTCCCCGCCGTCCGCCGCCCATTTCCTTCCCACGGCTCGCATTTCTGGCTTTTGCTCGTTTCAAGCTCGCTCGTTTTTGTCCGCGCACGCGTCTTGTTGTTCTTGCCCAGCGGTCGGCTTCGCTCGACGTCCTCTGATGCCTTCATTTTCGGCTTCGCTCCCACACGGGGTGGTCAATCTACTTTGAACGTAGCTCGTCACTGTAGGTCTTGACCCGCGGACTGTGACCCATCTGTGCGTCGGAGGAAAAGTGTGTGCCTATGTGTATGTGTGGGGCACGATGCTTGTAAGCGGGGTGGTGGTGGACCAGGGGGAGGGCAAAAGCACGCACAAACGCGCTGGGGCTCCCGATGAAGCACCAAGGTGTGTGGTGTGTGCGTGGGTGTGTGTATGTGTGTGTGTGTCTGTGTTGCGAATGTTTGTGTGTAGTTGTGTGTGTGCGTGCGTGCGTGTGCGTGTGTGTGTGTGTATGTGTGTGCGTCTGTGCTTGTGTGTGTTACTAGTTGTGTGGGGACTTTCTCCGACTTGTCGCTGCGCGCGATTCCGCGATCGCCAAAGTGTGTGTGGCTGTGTATGCTTGTGTGTGCGTGCGTGCGTACGTGCGTGCCCTCCTCGGTCGGGACGGCTAATGGCGTTTCGTCGCGCCTCCCAGTTTCTGCACTGCTTGGTGTGTCTGCTCTGCTGCCGCATACATGCGGTCAGATTTGCTTAGTCGCTTCGTAAGGAAGCCAATTCCCTTTCAGTGTGGTCCCCATCGTGTTCCGCTTACTGGACTCAATGGCTCAGCGGAGGAGACGCGTGTGTGCGTGCGTGCGTGCGTGCGTGCGTGCGTGCGCGTGCACGTGCACGTGCACGTGCGCGTGCGCGTGCGCGTGCGCGTGCGCGCGTGTGTGCGTGTGTGTGTGTGTGTGTGTGTGTGTGTGTGTGTGTGTGTGTGTGTGTGTGTCTGTGTCTGTGTCTGTGTCTGTGTCTGTGTCTGTGTCTGTGTCTGTGTGTGTCTGTGTCTGTGTCTGTGTCTGTGTCTGTGTCTGTGTCTGTGTCTGTGTCTGTGTCTGTGTCTGTGTCTGTGTCTGTGTCTGTGTCTGTGTCTGTGTGTGTATGTGCACGCTCCCAGGCAAGGTGGTCGACCCAGAGTTGCCTTGATCAGGGAAGTGTAGAAGCATGCAGTGCAACAGCCGCCTTGGAATTGCTTTCTCGGAGGTCTCCTGGAGACATCTTGGGTCTCCTCGCGGAGCCACTGGGGGCCCTCTTGGGGCCCTCTTAAGGTTCTTTGGGGGGGTCTAGGGGCCCTCTTGGGGCTCTTTGGGGGATCTGGGAGGCCTCTTGGGGCCATCTTGGCCCCCGAGGCTCAAAGAGAGAGGGGTAACGGATTCAGGTCCCCCTCGGAGGCTCAGTAAAGTCGTCTTGAGGCCCTTGGGCTCTCTTGGGCGCGCGCGTGGGGCCGTCTTGGAGCCATCTTGGGTTGGGCTCTCTTGGGCGCGCGTGGGGCCGTCTTGGAGCCATCTTGGGTCGTTCTTGGGGCTCCCTCGGACCATCTTGCGGCCATTTGGGGGCCTCCGAGGCCCATCGGAAGCGATAAGGCGAGAAGGTAAACATCATACATTTCCCTCAGGTGTTGGAGCCATTCTGGCCTCTTGGGGGGGGTCCTTGGAGGGCTCGGGGGGCACTTGAATCCATCTCGGTGCCGTCTTGAGGCCTCTTGAACGTGCGTCGGCGGCTATCTTGAGCCGTCTTGAGTTATCTTGAGCCATCTTGGAGGCCATCTTGGGGTCTCTGAGGCCCTCCAGGAGCCATCTTTGGTGATCTTGGGCGCTCTGACCGATCGCGGCCCCCCGGCGCAGTAGTTGGGGCCGTCCTGTGGTGCACGAGGCGGCCGCAACCACAGCCGCGGCGGCAGCCGCAACCACAGCCGCAACCACAGCTGAGGGTGCGCTCATCCTGCTCCTCCTCCCTCTGCGTTTATCCTCCCTTCCTCTTCCTTCCATCTCTCCTCCCGCTTCCCCCTCCCTCCCTCCGCTGGGGGCCGGGGGCCAGTCCGCGGACCTTTCCAGTGGTGGTGGCCAGGGGAGAGGAGAGAGGATGGCCCACGACCACCGCACGATTCGTGGCGCCACGGCCGCAAGACCTTGGACTTCTCGCCCAGCGGTTCCTCATCCCACTCACCCACCGTACCTGAGAGCACCCCATACCCCATGGTGGTGGCAGGCACGCCCTCGTGAGCCATAGGCGCTCCCTAGTCCCGCCTTCCTACGACTCCCTGGTCCGAGGCTGCAACGTAATTTAGAATGAGCGCGCGTTGTTGTTCACACCATCGCCATCGTTGTGCTTCCCGCTCTTCCACTGCTTAGTCCGTAAAGGCTCTAAGCATTGAAGCCTCACAAACAAGTCACTACGACAGGCAGCGGAAGCTCCTCGCTGCGACCCTCCATATTTTCTATTATTACAAACGCCGCCGAGGCGTGATTCGCACAGCCGCGCACGTCTCTTCGGCCAATGGCCGTCCAGATGATCCTCGAGGTGGTCTTCCTTGTCCGTGTGGACCTCGCGATCTTCGCGAGCTTGCTCCTCCTGAACTGGCTCGCCCTCGCCAGCTACCGCCGCCGAGTGGCGAAGAGCGTGCGTGCGGCTGGCAAGGACCAGGGCGCCTGCGCAGCGGCAGCCGCGGACCCCGCGGGGCCGGACGGCCAGCCCGAGAGGCGGGGGGTCCCCTTGGCCAGGCGCGTGAGGCCGCTGCTGCAGGGCCGCGCGGCCGCCGAGGCGCTGACCGCCGAGCTCTCGGAGGCGCTCAGGGGCCGCCCCGCGGCGGACGCGGAGGCGTCGCTGGGCGCTCTGCTGGCGCACCTCGGCCAGCCGGCGCCGGCGGAGCTGCTGGACGGCGTCCGCGGCGCGCTGCGCGGCCTGGGCCGGCGCCCCTCGGCGCTGCTGGCGGACCTGCTGCTGCGCGGCTACCTGGGCCTCCGCCTCGGCGGCGAGTTCGGCGAGGCTCTCCGCGAGCTGTGCCCCGAGGGCAGCGCCCCGCCCGCCGTGCTGCTGGTGGGCGTCGAGGCGGCCGTCGGAGCGGGCGACCTCGACGAGGCGCTCGCGCGGCTGGGCCGCTGCCCCGCCCTGGGCGCCGCGCCGCGCGGCGCGCGGCGCGAGGCCCCCGTGCGGGGGCTGCTGCGGCTGGCGGCGGAGCGGGGCCGCGTCGCCGAGCTGCTGCAGAGGCTGTCGGCCGCGGGGCAGTTGCGGCCCAGCGCCGTGGAGGCGATGCTGGCGGAGTGCGCCAGTGCGGCGCACCCGGCCGCCGCGCGCCTCGTGGAGGGCGCGGCGCGTGACGAGGGCGTGGAGCTCACGGCAGAGGCGCTGGCGGCACTGGTCCGCCTCAGCGGGGACGCGGAGAGCGTCAGGTGCCTCTTCGCGGAGGCCATCCGCAGGGGGGTCTGGTGCAAGAGCCTGTTCCTGCTGGCCGCAGAGGTCGCGGCCTGCCACGCCGACCGGGCCCTGGCCAGCAAGGTCGTGAAGAACCTGCCCACGCGCATCGAGGCCGAGGTCGCGGCCATGGCCATCGGCCTCATCGCCCAGGGGCTCTGCGGCGGGCGGGCCAGCCCACACGACGCGGTACTTGCCTTCTACGAGTCCCGCTGCCAGGGCGTCGACATCCTCCCGCACTTGGGCGCGTCGCGGGCAGTGGCCGAGGCTGCACTCCAGCGGAGCCGCTTACGGGTGCTCGACCGGTTGCTGGCGGAGTCTCTCGAGGACGAGCCACATGCGGCGCTCATGCAGAGCTTGGCTGAAGGACGCCAGCTGAAGGCCGTGCAGGCGATCTTCAACTCCTGCCCCCGGAAGAACGCTCGCATACACAAGGCGTTTCTCGACGCGTGCCTGAAGGCGGAGGACCTCGACGCAGCTCAGCGGGTCCTGGAGATGGCGCAGCAGACCATGGCAGCCGACGGGGAGAGCTTCACATGGCTGATCCAGGCCTTGTGCAGCGCTGGCAGGTCGCACCAGGCGTGCCGAGTTTTGGACTCGATGCGTTCAGAAGGTTATGAGCCCGGCCATGCGCTGTACACGGTCCTGGTCGAGGCTGTAGCCAAGCACGGCGAGGACATGGAGGACGCATGGAAGTTGGTGGACGAGATGCGGGCCGCCGCCCTGCCCATCGGGCGTGACCTCTGCCTCGCGCTGCTCCGTGGGGTGGGGCGCGCGCAGGGCCGCGGCGAAGGCGCGGACGCGGCGCGGGCGCTGAGGGCCGTGGACGAGCTGGGCGGCGCTGTGGACGAGCAGCTGCTGGTGGCCCTGCTCGACGCCCTGGTGCGCGCGCGGCGCGACGACCTGGTGGCGGCGCAGCTGCGTCGGCTCCCGGAGCCCCGCAGCGCCCGCGGCTTCGCGAGCGTGATCCGCGCGCGGGGCCTTGTCCGCGACGTGAACGGGGCGAGGCAGGCGTGGCGCAGGATGTGCCAGCTTCGCGTCCCCCCGGAGCGCGACACCCACACCTGCCTCGTGGAGGCCCTCGTGTCCTGCCTCGGCCCGCGGGCCGGGCTTGCCCAGATCCGCTCCTCGTTCGGCCTCGAGGAATCGCGGTGGCTGGTGGCAGCAGACGCCAGCAACCTGGTGCTGGAGGGGTACGCCAAGGAAGGCAACTATGCCGCTGTCTGGGGCGCGTACAAGGAGATGCGAGGGGAGCGATTTCCACTGTCGGTCGGCACCTTCAACACACTCGTGCGCGCCTGTGCGACGGGCGGCGAGATGTGGCGCGCTCCAGGCCTGCTGGACGACATGCACAGGCACGGGTTCCAGCCAACCTCGGCCACCCACCGCCTCTTGCTCTCTGGGTACTGCCGGGAGGGCCTCGCCGAGCTGGCCTTCCAGAAGTACAAGGACCTGAGGCAGATCTTCGGCGTCCGGCCGGACGAGAGGATGCACGCAGACCTCCTGGACTGCTGCCTGCGGGCCCGCAAGCTCGACGTCGGACTCCGGCTGGTGGCGGAGATGGAGCGGGACGCCCTGCCGGTGGGCGGCGTGTTGGTGCCGCTGATCAAGCTGGCCGCGAGCTGCGGCCAGCTGCCGGAGGCCCTCCACCTGGCCGAGGAGGCCGCGCGCCGGCACCGCGTGGAGCTGGACGCGCCGCTGTACAACGTCCTCATCGAGGCCTGCGTCGCCGGCGAGGCCCTGCCGGCGGCCCTCGGCGTGCTCCTGCGGATGGCGCGGTCGTCGGCGCGGCCGACTGCGCAGACCTACGCGCAGCTCATCGCCGGCGCCGTGCTGGCGGGCAGAGCGGAGGAGACCGCGGCCCTCGTGCGCCTCGCCACGGGGTGCTTCGCCCCCGGGGACCCGCCGAAGGCTCAGGGGCAGCGCAAGATCAAGCAGTGGCGAGGCGTCCTGGCTTGCTCACAGGGCTACCGAAGAATGTTCTGAGAACCTCTTGTGACTGTTGTGGCTCAAGAACATGAGTGGCTGAGACTGTCTAGATTTTAAGCACCGGCTCCGTGTTCTAAGAGCAGCATTGTTTTTGCTGTTAGAACATGTATTGTTCTAAGAGAATTTGGTGGTAGGCCTCTAGGCATGTCGGGACGTCCGGTCCCTGCTCATCGGCCACGCGCAGAGTGGTGCAGGGGGAGGGGGGAAGGCTTCTTAGAAGCACCCCATGCTTCTAAGAAGCCCTTCCCTCCTCTCTATGCCCCCTTGTGCGTGACTCCTGGCTCGAGAAGGAGGGGAGCGGCCCCAAAGGGGGTGGGGGAGCATTGGACCCCCCACTCGCCCGCTCCTCGCCGATCGGGGGCCCCATCGCCGACCCCCTCTGCGCATTCGCCGCCGAGCCCAGGTCGGTATTCCCCCCTCCCGGAGCGGCCACCCGCAGGAGGGGGCAGGGGGGAGGGGGGGGGGCTTCTCAGACAGAGTCTGCGCAGAAGGCGCGGGCTTTACATATCTGTGGATGCGGGGCCGGCTCCTTCTAAGAAGCAGCCTCCTTCCACGGAGCACTCCAACCCTCCCCCCACCCCATGCGTACACGCGCCGCCAGCCTGAGCCAGAGTCCCCCTCCCTTCCCTGCCGTCCGCCGATCTGCGCGTGCTTGCTGTCCATGCGCGGCCCCCTCTCCGTCCCGACCCATTCCTGGACGGTCGCTTCCCGCCCCAGAGTCGTCCTCGATGGCCCCCGGGCGCCGACCTCGGGCCCCAGTGGCGGAAGGCGAGGGACATCGCCGCGATGGAAACACTGACACGCACACACACTCACACACACACACACTCACACACACACACACACACGCACACACACACGCACACGCACACGCACACGCACACGCACACGCAACACGACGCACACGCACAACGCACACGCACACAACACACACACACACACACACGCACCACGCACACACGCACGCACACACAACACACACACGCACACACGCACACACACACACACACGCACACACACACACACACACGCACGCACACACGCACACACACACTCACATCTTCGGATACTCAGGCTTCCGGGCCCCAGCTCGGGCCTGTGGCGCCGCAGCCCAAGGTCTGCGGGCTTCGTTATCTATTGTGGATGATTGGCTTTTCGACAGAATATGAAAACTAGACGAAACAGTTCTGACTCAGAAATACTTTGGGCAGCGTTGCAGGTCAGTTCTATGTTGTGCTGGATGAGGCATTCACGACGGTGTCGCCAAGCATTGGCTCCCCCGCCCACCCCGGCGGGCAGAGGAAGGCCTCCAGAGCTCCGGCGGACAAGTACGCCCATCAGAGGCCCTCGACAACAGCAGCAAGCTCAATGGACTCCAGATGTCGTGCAAGAAAGCCAAGGATCTGGCCTGGACCCCGGGTGTTCTCTCGGAGCTCCTTGTTTCGTCGAACTTTCGTTGAAGAAAACGCCTGGAGAGAAGTTGACGTTATTAGCGTAAGTTGTTCTTAACTCTAAGTGAGGGTGTAATGTCTTCGGCCCTTGAACTTCAGAGGTCTCGACCCCTTCCCCGGGGGGGGGTGCGTTCGTTTCGCCCCAGATCCGTTTTCAATGACCATTGGTCGTTGAGCCCCTGACCCTCATGACGCCATTAATTCGCGGCCTAATTCAGGTCCAGGGTTCTTGAGGAGATCCCTAAGCTTACGGACGGCTTCGTTTGATACGTCTTTCAAAGAGACCCCCCTATCTGTAATCGGTTGGCCTTCCTAGCTCAGGTCCCCTCCCAAAGGATCAGGGGTCCTTTTCTTGCTTATCACCAGTCGGGCCGGGCGAAAGGGGGGGATTGGGAAAGGGGGGGTACGAAATTTGCTGCATGCAGCTGGGTTTTCGGCCTCACCGAGGGGGCCCATTCCTCGATACATGGCGCCTCCCGGCGCCAGGAGGCGCGGAAAATCAGCTACGCGAGTGATTCTCAACCCCCCCCTTTGCTATCCCCCCCTTTCGCCCGCCCCGAACCAGGGGGCATAGCCCGAGATCCGACGACGCGAAGCCAGTGCAGCACTGTCGCAACATCCCGACCAGAGCCTCGGACCACGCACGCCCCGCTGCAGACATGTCGATAGCCCGCTCGATCGGTGGGGGCCCCGCGGCCCGAAAAGCCTGGCGACACCGCCCGGCTTGTAAGAAAAGTGGAGGCGCCAGGACCTTCTCCTCCCTCCTCCTCCCTCCCCCTCCTCTCCTCCTCCCTCCTCCTCCCTCCTCCTCCCTCCTCCTCCCTCCTCCTCCCTCCTCCTCCCTCCTCCTCCCTCCTCCTCCCTCCTCTCCCTCCTCCTCCCTCCTCCTCCCTCCTCCTCCTCCCCTCCTCCTCCCTCCTCCTCCCTCCTCCTCCCTCCTCCTCCCTCTCCTCCTCCTCCTCCTCCTCCTCCTCCTCCTCCTCCTCCTCCCTCCTCCTCCTCCTCCCTCCTCCTCCTCCTCCCCGCGGAGGGAGGACAGAGGCACCCCGGGGGGGGGCCCCGGGGCGGGCGTCCGCGGGCGCAGCGCCCGCCTCGAGAAGGCTGGGGCGCCAGGATGTCGGCTCTCCCAGCCCCCATGCCGAATTCCGAACGGGCCGATCCTCAGAAGTTCTCCGAGGCGCCGGGCGTTCTCCGAACTTCCACGTCTCGTGTCTGCTCGTATCTCACACTGGTTGCCTGGCTGGCAGACGGATGGTGCACCCATGCCCTGCACAGGGCCGAGGAGCAGCCGACAGGCTCGCTCGCGTGGCCCGCTCGCGCCAGGGTATCAGGAGGCCCCGCCCCTGATGGTTTTCGGGCGCTCACTTGGCCCCCCAGCGGCCGTTCGGGACGATCCGGGCACCCCAAGAAGGTCCACGGCGAGGCGCAGCTGCTGGAAAACACCCGAACGCTCGAAGACTGGAGAACCGACGAAGACGCCCAGAAACCTCGACCGATCCTTCCCCCAGAGGTGTCGACCCATTCCCCGGGACCAGCTTCCCGTCCCGAGTCGTTGTTTGATGGTCCCGAGGCCCGGTAAGGGCATTGGGAGGCCGAAACCTGGAGAAAATTTGCCGCCGGGATTTTTGTCATGACTCGAAGGTGTCTGGGCCTGCCGCTGCGAAGTCGGTGGCCTTCAGTTCTGAGGTTCGAGCTCCAAGGAGGAGGAGGAGTAGGTGGAGGAGACGGAGGAGGTGGAGGAGGAGGAGGAGGAGGAAGAGGAGGAGGAGGAGGAGTATGAGGAGGAGTATATGAGGAGGAGGAGGAGGAGGAGGAGAGGAGGAGGGGAGGAGGAGAAGAGAATGTGGAGGAGGAGGTGGAGGAGAAGGAGGAGGTGGAGGTGGAGGAGAAGGAGGAACAAGGGCGGAGGAGGAGGAGGTGGAGGAGGAGGAGGAGCAAGGGCGGAGGAGGAGGAGGAGGAGGAGGAGGAGGAGGAGGAGGAGGAGGAGGAGGAGAGGAGGAGGAGGAGGTGGAGGTGGAGGAGGTGGACGCGGAGGCGCCCCTGCTGCCCGGCCTGCGCTCGAGCGAGGCGGCCGCGCTGGAGATCCCCGGGGGCCCCCCGCGTGGGCTGCTCGAGGAGGCGCTCGGCGGCCTCGCGGCGCTGCCGGGCGCGGGCAGCCAGTACTGTTTAACCGATCCCCACTCCAAATTCCGTAATGACAGGGGAGGGGGTTCGCAACCCTCCAAGGCAGGCAGTGACCGATCCCTACTCCAAATTTCGTAATGACAGGGGAGGGGGTTCGCAACCCTCCCAGGCAGGCAGTAACCGATCCCTACTCCAAATTTCGTAATGACAGGGGAGGGGGTTCGCAACCCTCCCAGGCAGGCAGTTTTAGACCCCCCAGACCAGCCATGACAGGGTGGGCAATGTGCCGAGACCCCACTGGAACCCTCCCAGAAAGCTCAAACCAGCCCCCCGACCAATGTGATCCCCCCCCACACTTTATTACGAAGCTGGGAGTATCCGACATCCCCATCTCCAGCCAGCCCCGTCCCGATCCCACCCTCCCACTCCTCCAGCCGGGGATCTGCCCCGCGGAACTCGAAGGGAACAGCCCATGTATCCCCATCTCGTGGGTTAAGTCGGCCAATGGGGCCATGGCCACGTCAGTGGGGAGGGGGGTCGGTTCAACGATTCCCCAGGCAGCGAGGCCGCCCCCGCGCTGTTCCGGGACCTGTGCGCCGCGGGGCGCCTGTGAGGGCCGGCAGCCCGAGGAGGCAGGGGTCCCGACACCGCTGCCCCGGGCTTTCGCCCTCCTTCGGGGCCTCCTGTGGGAGGTCCTCGTCGCCACCGCCGGAGTCGCTTCGAAATGCGGGTCAGAACGCCACCTGGGAGTTCGGATGCAACTCCTGGGAGGTCAAATTCTGATGTTCCCCTGGTCCGAAATCTGGCTTAATCTGGCTCAATCCCGCTTAATCCCGCTTAATCCCGCTTAATCCTGATATATCCGGTTTAATCCCGGTTAATCCACGGCCTGATCTTGCGTAGCAGCCCCCCAGTGGGGCTCCATTCTCTTTAATTTTTTCCGACGAAGACCTCCCAGTAGTTGCCCCCTAATGGGAGAAGCCCGGGGAGCAGCAGCATCGGCACCTCTTCGTTTCCCCAGTGAGGGCCAGCATGGGGGAGGGGCCGCGCCCGTCCACGTCGTTGGGAGGGCCACCGGGTCCTCCGAATGTCGTTTTATGAGAAGGGGGGGGAGGGGTCTGATTTGAGCCGTCGTGGAGGGTTCTGGTGTCTCTGGGCCAAGAGTGCAGCGCTTTCGTGGCTGGTCTGGGGGGATCTTTAGTGGCTCGCCTGGGAGGTTTGTGACTCCCGCTCCTTTCGTAATTACGACATTCGGAGTGCAGAAGGAGTCGGTACGAAGCCCGACGGCAGTTCCCGTCTATGCACTGACAGGACGCGCTGTCAGTGCCGCCGTGGGCGTGATCCTCGTGGTTCGAACGGTCGCCTGCCCATCAGTGGCCGCTGTCGGCTTTGGGCAACATTTGCCGTTGGGCATCGTGCCCTTTTTTCTCGTGCTCATCGCGGGTGTCCAAAGTCCATGTATCGAGTGTTGTCCAGAGTGCCCCTGGGTGGCCCAGGGTGCCCCCAGGAGTTTTCAGGGCTCTGGGATTCTAGGATTCTAGGTGTGCTTCGCGCGCGCGCGCCCCGCATTGGGGCACGAGGTTCAGGCAGACACTGCAAAATGCAACCAACGACGACGACGACGACGACGACGACGACGACGACGATGACGACGACCAGACGACGACAGACGAACGAACGCAGCGCCGCGAACGAGGACGATGGTGATTAGGATTTCCGAGGAGGCCCCCGAGCAGATTACAATCACCAGACAAACCTCTCGAATTGCCCTCCTTAAAGGAACCACACTTGTGGCACACCAGAGAACTTGTTGGCTGTTCGAGGGGCCCTCTGAGGCCGTATTCGCTCCGGGAGGCCGTCTGCGGTCAGCCTGGGGCCGTCCTGGAAGCCTCTGGGGCCATCATGGGATCCTCTTGGGCCATCTCTGGACCCTCACGGTTGCCCCTTGTGGACTTCTTGGGCCATATTGAGATGACGGAAGCCCGAGAAGGGGAGGATGCGAGCATGTTCGAAAAACAAATGGGACATCAATGATGTTGGCCTCGTCGGGCCAAGTTAAGGGTCCTCGTGTGGCCCTCTTGGGCCCTGTTCGAGGCATCCTGGGCTGTCTTGAAGCCCTGTTTGGGTCGCCTTGGGGCCGTCTTGGGCCGACTTCGAGGCAAGTTGTGCCGTCTTGGCGGCCTTGGTTGCCTGCCTGGGCCGCCTGGGTAGCTCGGGACGCGAATCGACCGTTTTGTTCGACGGATCGTGGCCCAGGGAGCCTCGAGAGAAGGGGGCGATGCATGCGGATAGACGCTGGTCGAGGGGAGGGGATCCCTTCTCAGAATACAGCAGTCCTGCCAGGCAGCCCTTGGCATGCTTCCACGCCTGAACGGGCCGCCCTCCCTCCTTGAAGCTGTTGCGGATTTCAAGCTCCAGGGTCAAATACGGTGTGGGAGTCTCAGGCGACACGCCCGGCCCGCCCTGATTACCGACACGTCTGGGGGTGCGACCGGGAGGAGCTCGGCAGAAGAAAAAGGGATGGAGGAGGAGGAGGAGGAGGAGGAGGAGGAGGAGGAGGAGGAGCTGAAGGAGGACGAGGAGGAGGAGGAGGAGGAGGAGGAGGAGGAGGAGGAGGAGGAGGAGGAGGAGGAGGAGGAGAAGAAGAACGACGACGTCGACGACGACGACTAGAGATGAGGCAGGAGGACGCAGGGAGAAGCGAGGAGGAGGAAAAGGTTTCATTCCGGGAGGAGGGGATCCTCTTCTTCCCACCTCAGGAGGAGGAGGAGGAGAAGGGAGAAGTTGGATCAGTACTTAGGAGAGCAATCTACTTCTCCCTCCCACATTCCCTCACCTCACCCCTCGGCAATCGATGGCCTTCCCCCGACAGTCGGCAATCTCCCTGGCGGGCAACCCCGCACCCCTTCCACGCTGCACGTGCAAAGTGGGGACTCGAGTACTCGGGGGCGCAAGGGGTCATGTGCGAAGGACGCGCCCCCGCAGTGCCGCGCTCGCCTGCCGTCCCGCGCGGGCTCCGAAGACCCAGAGCGCAGCCGGAGCCAGCCCGGCAGCAGGACATATCCTCCCCCGCCCTGCTCCCCCCCCCCCCCCTTGGCATCGCCCGGACGTGTGCGTTCTTTCCTCGGCGAGGACCACCGAGGAGCATCCTTTTGATCACTTGGCGAAAAAAAGCCCACGCACGACACCGAAACAACAAAGCACAGGACGTGGACGCCCGAGCGATGGCCTGCCCCCCTCCCCCGCCCAGGAGAGCCTCACCCCCTCGGCGGGCCCGCCGCCCGGGGACGCCGGCTCCACCGCCGGCACGGCCAGCGAGGGGGCCCGGGCCTCGGGCCGCCGCCGCGCCGACGACGCGGCGAGGAGGGCGGCGGCGGCTGCGACAGCGGCCCGGCAGGAATCGGGGGTGGACAGAACCCCCAACCCCAGACATGATGGCGTCGTAAAAAAATCAGGACGGGAGGTTTTTCGCTATTTTCGGCCCCTGGGGGCCCTCGCCGGGCCTCGGGACCGTCAAAAAACGACTCAGGGCGAAAAACCGGCCCCAGGGAAAGGGTCTAGATTTCCAGGGGCGCCGTCCTGAAAAAATCAGGACGTCGCATGTCTGGGACAGTGACACGTCGATTCGTGAGTTGTCCGTTGTCGGTTCTCGAGCGGGCGCCGTGGCCGTTCTTTCCCAGGCCTGCGCCCGCCAGGTTCGGGCCTCGGGTCGTTGTCACTAAGCCACGCTTTGCGAAAGGGAGGTCTGTCCATCCCCGGAAGTGCCGGCAGGTCGGCGCCGCGTCGATGCGGCGGCGACGCCGTCAAGGCTGAACGCCGGCAGTGGCCCGGAGACGGCCGCTTCATGGGTCATCGGCGGGGCGCGACGATCGTGCAGGGTTTGACGATCCACGCGGTGCCACCAACCAACGCGCCAATCGTCACGACTCGAACGTGCCGTAAGCGGGTCCTGCGTGTTGTTAGGTTTTTGTTTTTTCGGGCTCCTGGGTTTTTCCTGGGTCCCAGGACTGCCAAAGGGCGGCTCGGGAGGGGAAAAATACAGCCCCTGGAAGGACTCCAGGGCCCAGGGCTGGTTTGTGCCAGACGACAGCGGTTGCAAAATCGCAAAAAGGACGACCCACAGAAAGCCGAAGAGCGCTTCCGGAAGACCCCATGACAGCCGAAAACAGGCCTTCTGGACGGCCCAAGAAGGCCCCGAGATGTTCCGAGAGGGTTCCAAGACGTCCCCAGGAGAGCACAAGGTATCCCAAGGTGGCTCCAAGAGCACCTACGGCCCCCAAAGGTATCACGAAAAGGCTTCGGAGGAGAAGGAGGAGTTGGAAGACCTTGGCTATGATCATGGTGGCGCTGCTGCTGATGATGATGATGGTGATGATGATGATGGTGATGATGATGTTGATGATAATGAGGATGACGATGCGTATGGTGGGGATGAGGAGGGCAAGGAAGAGGTTGGTTGATGGAGGGAAGCAGGAGGCGGAGAGTCATGCAGACTGCCTCGGCGGCCTTCTTGGCGAATGAGACGCCAGCTAGGCGTGGCGGTCGACTTGGCGGCATTTTTGGGCGGTTGCGAAGCAAAATGCAGAAGCCTGCTGGTTCTTCAGGTCTTGGACGCTGGAGAAGATCTCACGCTGACCTGGTCTTGCGATCAGTCTTGGGATCACCCGGAAAGTCTGAAGGGTCCCCGGGAGAGACCCAAGATGGCCCTAATACGGCCCAAGATGAAAGTAGGGGGAGGGAGAACGCAGAACGGAGAGGAGTACGCGGGAGAGATTGATGCCATCTATGCGGTGCGATATGGTCTCATCTATGTGGTGCAGCCCATGTGGCGCAACATGTGGGATGCATTATATTGTGTTGTGCAAGCTACATGGCGCAAGCGGTGCACGCTATGGTGTGCAATGTACGTGGAGCTATGTACGTGGTGCAGGACACGTGTTGCAATTACAATCTACGATTTGCAAGCTATGTGAAGCAAACCACGAAGCGCGGGCCGTGAGGCGCTCACGGGGGGGTACTGGACGAAAACAAGGGGCCCACGGGCAATCATTGGGAGGAAACACATAGAATATACACCCAATGAAGAAACGATTCGTTCAAGCACTTTGGGGGGGCAGTTGTTTCTGGATTCTGTGGTGTTATGATTGGTTCAGGTGATTCGCACCCTCGTTCCTCAACGGTGTGCTTGTAAACCTCCTGACTGGAGTGGCGCAAGCCATCCGAGCAAGTCATCCAAGAAGTGATCTCGCGACCCTCATCTTCTGTTGTCTTGGGGCAAGGAGCATATTTTCTGAGGAGTGGGAGCCAGTAGTTCTGTCCTCGTACTTATGCCCCCCCTGGAGACGCTGGTGCTTTCGGCATCCATAAGGTGGTCGCGAGCATCCTCTGACCCAAAAGCTGTCCAGGTCGCGCTGCCGCTGATCCATCCTAGTTTAATGTTATTGCCACCCCAGCCTAGGCATCCTCTCCTGTGGTGTCCAAGGACTTCAAGATCCAGTGCGCCGTGCATGTGGCCGCTGGTGCCTCCGCCATTCTGCGCCGCACTATCATGCTACCCACCTCGATCACCGCTGCAAGTCTAGTGTGGAGGTGTAGCATACTACAGATTAGTTCGGACACCGTGAAATGTTATAGCATCGGTGTAGGTGGAGGGGGAAACGCGGAGGGGGGATTCAGAAGTTGGGGGCGAAGGGAGGACGGAGGAGGGAGGAGGAGAGACCCTTCTTGGGGGCACCCCTGGAGCCTCGAAGAAACTTACGTAGATGCTCTCGCTCGGCAGTTGCGAGCGATTGATTCAAGCATCCGCGCATCCTCGCGGAGTCGTCTCTTCAGCCTTTCAGTCTCCGCCTCCTCCCTCCTCCCTGCTCCCTGCTCCCTCGTTCTCCCCCTCTTTGTTGCCCCTCCTGATATTCCACTCCCTCCCCTCGAGCCCTTCTCGTCCTCCACATCATTCTCCTCTTCCCCCAGGACCTGTCGCTCCTTCCCCCTCCAAGTCCTCCACCTAGATTTGATGTGTCTTGATGCTCACGTTGCGCCGAGCCCGTTGCGTGTAGGTCTGATTGCTTAGCGACACAAGCACGCAACTGGAAAAGAAACTTGAAACACGCAGTGCGGCAGCTTTGCAGAGACTGAAACGCAAGGGCGATGGAGCAGTGAGATAACCACAGCGAGGCAGAAGAGATGCTACGCAACAGTTGAGAGAAATCCGCGCCCTCCAAGTTATTCGCCCCGTCGACCGGTGCAAGCTGGAGCGAATGTGCAATCTAGGCATCACAAGTCGAACGCTCACTGCCGCCTGAAGCCATTTGACCTGTTCTACACTAGGTCTTCAAACGAGTGATTGGTGCCAGCGTAAGCCCGAAGCTGCATTGGCACAGCACAGCAGCAGAAAGTGATACTAATAGGGGCGCAAGGAGATCAACGGAAATAGGTGAAATACTCGGATCTGTCATCCCGTGCATGGGCAGCATACTGCGCTACACAGTAGATGGTGGCAGGGTCAGGTATGCCTTCGCCTGCATGGCTTATCTTCAACACCAAATGTCCTCCGCCATGTGTCTGGTTTGTGCGCTGAGGCACGGCACGAGCCTGTATGTAGCGGCCTATGCTAAAACATCGGGTGCCCGGGGCAGATGCCCCGAGGACCAAATTTTGAGAGCGCAGCTGGCGCTGTCGGACACCCGGCAATCCTCCTCCACCTCCTCACCACCACTCCTTCTATCCTCAGCTTCCTTCTCCACGCTGCCTTTCTGGTCTGTGACCCACGTGCCCCACGAAGGAACCCACGAGCCTCTGGACGCCCTGCGGGCTTCCGCCCACCTCGGGCACCCCGCCGGGCCACGAGGGGCGCGTCGGCTGGCCCGCGCCCTCCCCCCCCTCCCCCGCTGCGCCCGGCAGCCTCTCCCTGCTCTCCGGCCGCACAGGCCTCCGGCGGAGGGCCGCCGCCGCGCGGAGAGAGAGGGCGCGTCGCGGCGCGACGACGAGGCGAGGTTGACCCTCGTCGGGGGGGTCCCCCCCCACGCTTATTCAGAAGCTCAGGGCTGGTATTCGCGACAGTCCTGGGCCATCTGTGGGGCAGCATTGCGCCTCCTCTCTGCACCCTTTGGGCCTCCGAGGCCGCGCTGGCCCCGCCCGTCGGCGGAGGCCCGGGGTCCGCTCCCCCGGCCCTGGCTCCCAGCGGCGAGGGGAGCCCGCACACAACGCCCTGGGCTCGTTTCCGGGTCCGCGTGCTGCTTCGTCGTGCGCCACGCCTCCGCATGGGCACGCGCCGAGGGGCAGCCACAGGAGCATCGGGCTCGCTTCGCGCCGCTGTGGGTGCAAAAGCTTCCCTCCCCCAGCGGCGCGCAGGAGAGGGCAGGGCGGAGGCGGTTCTCTAAGAAGGCGGCCCTTCCCTCCCTCCCGCCTTCCCGAGAAGCCGCCTCGGGAGCCTCCAAGACGGAGAGAGGGCGACCTCCTTTGAGCAGACCCCCGCCTCCTCAGGAAAGGCCGCCCCGCCCCCCTCTGGCGCGCCGCCGGCAGTCTCCGCGCCCCCCCATGGGCCCTCTATCTCTTCCCCCCTGACCGATGTTTCGCTCCGGGTCGTTTTTTGTTGGTGGTCGGCTGCACGTAAGAGTGACGTTTCGCCGGAGTGATTTTTGGTGCAGGCACACGGGGGTCCCAAGATGGCCCAGGGCGGTGCGATGGCAGCGGCCTGCGCTCTCGGGCTCGGCCTTCCCGCAGCCCCCGAAAGTTGCGCACCAGAGGTCTTTCTTGCCCAGGGTCACTCTCAGTTAGGCGTAGCTGGATGACCCGGGGGATTGCTTCCCCGAGGCCGAGACCGAAGACAAATTCCGTGACTGTTAACACCACGCTTAGACTGAGAGTCGAGGAGCGGCGCCTGCAAGTTCCGTTCCCGTCTTGTCTCTCGTCCGCGCGGAGGGGATGGTGTGACGTGGGGTTTTCCCGCGGGTCTGGATTCGGATGCTTCCTGCTCGGGCTTGGTACCTCGTGGGGGTCGCATCCCAGCTGTCGTGGACTCCTGGACCCAGTACCCAGGCATCCTCTGTGGTGTTTTTCCCGCCAGCCTGGTACAGTGGAGACCCATGCCAAGAAACACCCTGCTTGCCTCCAGGGTGCCCTGGGTTTCTTGGGTTTCGATGGTTTTGCGATGGAAGGCGTGACGTTCCCACACCACAATCGAAGGACGTCCTGGGGTCTCAGGGTTGGGTTTCTTGTGGAAGGTTTCTTGTGGATCGGCCCCCGCTGTATCCCATGGGCCTGGACCGCTGCAAAGGGACGGCTTTTTCTTCCCGAGTCTTGGCGTGATGGCCCCGGGGTCCAGCGAGGGCCTCCCAGGGCCAAACATAGAGAGAAAAACCCTGCCGCCGTGATTCTTCCATGGCGCCGACGTGTCGGGGGACACTCTGTGTGGGCCTCTCCTGCCAGTGGAGCGGGGCCAGCGAGGCTCATGGGCGATGTCCGCATCCGCGACCCCGCGGTTGCGGAGCGTTTTGTCGTGGATGCTCCGCGCGCAGACCGCATCTCTGCGACCGCGTGTCCGCGGGATCGCGCCCCGGACTTCCAGACCGCGGGGGCGCAGAGGCGGATCTGTGCTCCGCTCGTGGCAGGCCTCCACGGGGCGCTTCGCTGCTGCGTGTCTTCCTGCCTCACCGCCGCTCTCCTCTGGAGCCCGGCAGCAGGCATCTACATCACCGCCGCGCTGGCGCCGAAAGCCGGCGACGTCACGTACGGCGTGCCCCCCCCCTCCGCAAACCGTCGTGAAAAGAGTTGCTCCTGAAGGGGCCAGGTCCTGGAGCTCCAGCCCGCCCACATAGGGTCGAAGTAGATTGGGGCGTAGGATCGCGCAGCACCGCCGATGCATTGACCCGATCTTCTCCACGCCGATGTCGCCGACGCGTCGCCGACGTCGCCGATGCATTGCAGATGCATCGCCGATGCATTGGCGATGGATTTGCGAGGCGGCGCCATCCTCCGACCCCATTGGCTCGGACCCCAGTTTGGGAGGCCTTCAGGAGTTCTTGTTGCGCGTCTTCGGGCCTCCGAGGCCGTCCCCGTGCCCCAAGACCGTACAGTCGGGGCCCTGAAGAAGGAACCCTTTTGGTTGGGGAGGGGCTCCGCGTTCCTTAAGTGTTTCACAGCGTGCCTCAGGCTTTCCTTATGTCTTCGACAGGAAGTCGAAGGTTAACTTATGGAAAAAAAGGGGCCTCGTTCCTTATTTGGGGTTCCTTGGGTCAACGCCCCGACTGTATAACGACTCGGGAGGAGGAGTTGGTCGCAGGGGGGCCCAGGATCCAGGGCCAGTCGTTTCCGCCAGGGCCCGTGCCCTTGATGGCATGCAGAGCCGCCCGCTCTGTGGCACGGGCCTCCGCTCGGAGCACGGGAGGGAGGATTTGCGTTGCAGCTTCGACTGTGTCCTGTTCTCGCCCCTGTGTGTCCTCCTCCTCCTCCTCCTCCTCCTCCTCCTCCTCCTCCTCCTCCTCCTCCTCCTCCTCCTCCTCCTTCCTCCTCAATCTCGCATAGCGCCCTTCGCTGGCCTGGCGCTCCCCCGCTCCCCGCTGTACGATGCGGGGCAGCATCCCACCGCCGTGGTTAGACGCAGGACTCGCGGCCTGGCGCAAGCATTGTCGCCTGACTGCGTCGATCGGCTCGGCTTCCTCCCGCCCTCTTCCTTCCCTCCCTCTACGAGATAGTTTTCGTTGTTGTTTGTTTTCCTCTGGCGCGTAGCGGTCGTTCCGCCCCCCCCCCCCCCCCGCGGGCCACGGCACCGATCGCACGCTGTTCGTAGCGGGGGGGGGGGGGCGGGCGCCTGGACCCCCCCCCACATGCTGGCGCTCGCGCGCAGATGGTGGCGATCGCAGCGCACCCCTGCTGCGACGTGCCCCGCCCCGCCCAGACACTACCCTCACCCAGGGCCCCAGCCCCCGCCCGCGTCGGGCGTTGCGCAACAGCGGGGGCGCTACACGCGGGGAAGAAGGGTGCAGCTCCCATGCACCTTGGGGGCCCTGACGGGGCCCCATTGGGCCCAACAGGGGCACGATGGGTGTACGCTTCTTCGCCGCACCCCCAGGTAGCGACCGTTGCCGAGAGTCGTGCAGAACAACCTCCGCCGCTCCTCCTTCTCCCTCTCGCCCCCCTTGGGCGTCCGCATCCGCTCCCCCACTCTTCGTGCTGTTGGCCAGTTGCGCGCCGCCCCTGAGGCAAGACCCCCCACGCCCTCTCAGAGATCGGTCCGTCCCGGGCAATCTCTGCGAGCCGCGCCAGACCGCGGCGACGGGGATGAAGGGGCCCTGGGACATACAAATAAGTAGACACAAATAACAGGATTCCCCATACCTTCCCATACTTTCGGGGTTTTTGCCTTCACCCCACTTCCAATAGTTTCCCACATCTTCTGGGGAATCGACGATTCATTTTGTCTGTGTGCTTTTTCCCTCCTGAGGGGAGCCGCCAGAAAATCAAGCCTCCATAGCAGCCTCGAGAGAGTCAAGGCGCCTAGGCCGCGGGCGGAACGTGGCAGCCGCGGGTGGATGGCGGAGGGGAGGGGGTGGAGGGAGGAGGAGGAGCACGGGGAGGAAGCGGGAGGAAG